TTACGCAGCAGAACATCCAGGCAGGCTTTCAGGCGACAGGGCTTGTCCCTCTTTGTCTAGATCGTGTTCTATCGTCGTTGACTATCGTCTGGACGCCATCTCCACCACAGACAACTATAGATAATAACACTACAGCGCAGGCAGCAATGCAGACAGAGACACCACATACAGTAGTAGAGCTTCAGCAGCAGGTGCGGTATCTCCAAGAGCGACTGCGCCGGCAGCTAGAGAGTCCAACAAGCGTTGCGATACGCCAGCTTGCTAAGAGCGCTTAGCTTGCAATGCAATTAGCAACGATACTTGTAGAGGAGAATAAGAAGCTACGTGAAGAGAACTAGCGTCAGCGGCAAAAGCAAGATTAACAGCGTTAATATATTGCTTCTAGTGGGGTACTCTAGGTGTAGCAGGCTTAGCAGCTTGTAGCAGAGGCAGAAAGGTTACTTATAGGGGGTAGCTAGAACTAGGCTGGTGAGCGACGTTGGCGCGCGCCGCCAACGTGCACGAAGTGTCACGTTAAAGGACATACTTAGACTTTATGCAGAGCTAAATAGTAAACTATATATCTTAATTTTATATTATTTTAATACGTTGTTGTGGCTCAATTGCGCAGAACGTCGCGCGAAGTTTGGTGGGGTGCCCAGCTTACTGATCTGCCCAGCTTACTGACCCTGCACGTTACTGTGTTCCACTAGTAAGCTGCGCACCCCAGTAAGCTGCGCACCCCACCAAATCCTCACAACTCTATCTGCGCCAACGACCATGACTTAACAACCACGGCCTAAGGTGACATCTCGTGAAGGTAGACTAAGTCTCGCGATGGTCTCCTATTAGAATAAACTATGCTAATTAATCTAAGCCCTCGCGAGAGCGTATGACGTACTAGAATCTACTCTCCGGACGCGTCTCCGTGGTGTCCACCCGCGATCAGAGATAGTCTCTGTCAACTAAAAGCTATCAACTACTAAAGAGCAGTCTCTCGTGCAGTGGATCCTAGACCTTAATCGACGAGGCTTTCTACCCTATATAATTAATGTACGACGCATGGCAGACGCTCTACTCGCAGCCCACGGCCAAGATCCACCTCCTCCACCTGTAGGCAAGAACTAGGTGTCGCGCTTTGTCAACAGCCAGTCTGAGCTTCAGACTAAGTGGAACAGGAAGGTCTATAGCCAGCGCGCTCTCTGTGAGGATCCTGTCGCAATCTCAGCGTGGTTCAACCTAGTAGAGGAGACGCGCCAGGCCTATAGGATACTAGACACAGACACGTACAACTTTGATGAGACTAGCTTTATAATAGGCGTCGCAGCGACGTCTAAGGTGGTCACTAGCTCTGACACTGTAGGTCGGGCAGCCACAGTACAACTAGAGAACAGAGACTGGGTCACGACAATCGAGTGTATCAACGCGTCTGGCTGGTGTCTTCCACCGTTCGTGATCCTGTCTGGTAAGCAGCACCAGGCTAGCTGGTACCACCACATCCCTATAGACTGGGTGCTCGCTGTATCAGACAACGGCTGGACGACAGATGAGCTCGGCGTAGAGTGGGTAAAGCACTTTAATAGATATACAGCGCCTCGTACGCATGGAGTCTACCGGCTTCTTATCCTAGATGGCCATAGCAGCCACGCCACGCCTGAGTTCGACCAGTACTGCACAGAGAACAAGATCATCACTCTCTGTATGCCAGCCCATACCTCCCACCTGCTCCAGCCACTTGATGTGGGCTGCTTTTCCCCGCTCAAGCGAGCGTACGGTCACGAGATCCAGGAGCTAGCTCGCCAAGGCGTCTACCATATTGACAAGATAGACTTCCTTACCGCCTATACACGGATCCGG